CTTAAAGCCTTAAAGTATAAAAAAAATAATTCTGATAATTATTAATCAAAATAATGATATAGAAGAAAAAATTATGTATAGGTTTATATTAAAATTATTAAAATTAATTTTATAAATTCAGTTATTTTCTTGATAATTTAATATAAATGCTGAATAACAAATTCGTAAAGAATCTTGAAAATAGCTGACTTAAATGAAATAATTTAAAAATATTCAATATAAAAATGTTAAAATAAATGATAAAAAAGAATAAAATAAAAAATAAATTAATCAATTTATTTCATTTACATATAAAGCTCTTAATATTCAACCTATTTAGGTTGAATATAACCATTTGGTTAACAGAAGAAAATGCTATAAGTTTCCGTAAAGAAGTTTGATTTAATCCTCCTAATGCTCCAACAATAATTAATAACTAGCTTAGATTATTAACGAATCTACATTTTTCTTCTGCTTTTCGATAATCAGAACTAAGAAGCCAGTTCAGAAGTTAAGAAGTAAAATGATAATATTAAAAATTTGCTTGGAAACATGTCCATTCATAGAGGCTACTCAAAATGTTCATTATTCATTGCTTAAACTGCCCTCGTGACTTACATGATGGCATCAAATGTTTCATTTAAGTACAGTCATTTTTCCTCACATAACAATCAAAAATATAAAAACCAAAGCCTCTGACCTCTGCACACAACGGCGTGAACATCGTGCGGGGTCTGCCCTTATCTGTGGGCATCTACGAAATGTAAATCTTGTAACTGACGCCCCTTGTTGGCTCTTAGCCATGACCTTCATAGAGTTTTTATTGTACATACTCGTATATACATGTCTACTAATAATCTCCCAGCTAATCAAGATCAATGGGAGGCTCTGCACATCCGCTGTGTTGTTGGCATATAGCTCTTCACATACCCCTAATGTAATCGTAAGCTTTGGTGGCCTATGGCATCTTTGAGAGCTGATCGAGTGCTCTTTGGTTTATTGTTTGCTTTTCGCATTTATTTTGACGTTTAAGCATTTGAGTTTGTTGTAAAACAAACGCAACGAACCGAGCTCCAGGCCATGGATGAAGTAGTGCCGGTCACTCGATATACTGACTACTATAATATTTATGCGCAGCTTTAAATATGAGTGCCTACATAATTAATTAACGATTGAAACAATGCTAGCCATCAAGCTGAGACAGCCATGTCAAATCTAATTGCATAATTGGCATAATCGTCATATACACTTACTTGTACATACTCTTAGTATATCCTCTAGCATGTTGCTGAACAAGAACAAGTTGCGGCAAAGCGCAAAAATTAATTGCAATTAAAAAATTGAGAAAATTGTTTCATTGAATTTATTGCGCACAAGGTGAGTGGAGACAATGCGACGAGAGACAAGTTGCATTGAAGTTGCATAATATTTTCACTTTTTACATGCCACCACATGAGCAGCGATCGGTCGATCAGGCGATCAGGCAAACGAGCGATCGCACACTCGCGACAAGGCGTTGGCAATAAAAACAAGTTTTTTTCCCAAGTCTTTTGTTTCAATGCAACGACTGCCCCGGCAAATATCAATAAATTCACGTTGTTAATGAATACTTAACCTGCTGGTATTATAGCCAATTGTGGCATGAATTAGTGGAGTAACAGTCTGTCAATGAAACAAATAAAAAAGCTATAGTACCTATATGCATTGTTATTCACGTTTTAAATGTGATCTGTGTAATGAAAATGAACATATTATTGTAAAACACTTTCTTTTATTTTGAACATAAAATATCTAGCTTAATCTATGTATAAACATTAAAAATACCTAAATATTTAACTTATACTCAATTTACAGAATGTGACCAGAAAACATAACGTAGTTTTAACTTTTCTTCTTATCAAATAAAAATTATGTATATTTAGGTCAGTAATGCCTAAAAATGTAGGTCTTATTTTAATTAAACTTTTTATAAACTCAATAAATAAAAACCATTGTTTTGTGGTCATAGTTTATTTGTACGGTTTTTGATCAAATAGTTTTACTGATTCTTAAGCTGTTCAGAATTTTCTCTCAGAAGAAAAAAAAAAACAATTATTGTTGACAAGTAGGAGAGTGTAAAAATAAGCTTTGTCTTTTACTCATTTTTATTTAAAAATATTTATAACATTTTAGAGTATGCTGAGTTCTAAATTTTATTGCTTCTTAAAATGCAGAAAGCAACTTATTTAATTAGTTGTATTTTAAATTCAGTTTTAATTTATTTTATTTTATTTTAGAATATTCTTAAATTATTTATTTATTTATGGGGCTAGCTCAAAGTTAAAACTAACAGCTAACAGGCTTATAAAGTGGCTACTAGGGCCTTAGGCTATATTTGTTTTCGTTTTACATACAATTAATATTATAATATATTAACTAATTGTGCTATTTACATTATTTACATTTATAATATAGAATATTCTTAAATAAAATCAACCTTGTGCTCCCCAACAGCAACAAATTAAAAACCGTCAACACTTTTATAATTATGTTCAAGTATTGTATTTTATTGTACAAAGCAATAATTTAAAGTACTCGGCGCAACAAATTGCAGCTTTTCATTTCTGTTTGTTTGTTTTTGTTTGTTGGCTGTTTGCACATTTTAATTAATTTCTAACTGGGTAAGTGGTTCGAGCTAACCTTTAGCACATTTCAAGTTGAAGTTTATTAACCCTAGGCCGCAATAAACAAAACAACACAGCACAACACAAAAAAAAACTGAAAGCGCTCGTGGTTTTCCAACCTTCAATGGTCAGGCGGTTGCTACAAAGTTGAAATTTCAATTTAAGCGCCAATGTGGCAACAATTGTTTTGTTGCATGAATTAGCAAAACAAAGTTTAAGCGGTCAGCATGAGGAAGGCCGATGGGAACTGCTAGACTAAAGGGAAATGTAGGTGTCAAGTTTTCGAAAAATATGAAAAACCATACAGTTACCAATATATGCATTTATTAAATACTGTTAGGAATAAATGTAGACCCATATTTGTGGAAGCATGCTCTATTTTGAAATCCAATATTGAAGTGACGATAATAATGGAAAACTGATGAAAATTGAGCTTTTAAATCGCCTTGTTGGTATGACAGATATAGCAGAGGCTGTTAACATCTCCTATAGATCGAATTAATGCATGTTGGTTAATGTCAGCCACTGTGTGGAACAGATTGGTGTCCTTGTGACTCTTCCTGTTTTCGAAACTCGAATATCCGCTCCGGGAATCGATTGAAGCCATACAAAAAAATTCGCAAAAGGAACTTAAGACCATCCCGGCCGAGGCCTATAGCAAGTATGTGGAAAACAGTCTTAGCCTAAAAGCGAAAATAAATATTTCCATTACAAATAAACCGGGTCAAATTTGTTCAGATATCTCGTGCATTAATTGCTCAGCAACCGTCCCCCTAGAGCGTTACCAGAATTTTGAGATTAACCAGAAGCAGACAAAAAACTCGTTAGCACCTCGTTTTAAATCCCAACAGACCCTATTTAGTATCTGCTTCACACGAGACTTCCTGTCAATAGCTTATAAAAAAGTAAATAAATTTGAAAAATCGTAATTTAAATCCAAAAAATTACTTGTCTACAAGAGTAATAATACCATAAATTTTAATTCTATATAATAATGGATAATCAACGAAAACAAAATTTGTTTTCTAATTGGCAAGCATTGTTAATGTTCTCTCGCCCGACGCAATTGCAGAACAAATGCGACTTTTGTACATAAATACAAATAAATAAAGGCACTCTGTGGGGGGCACTCGAGCGTGCATTTTGGAGGTCAGGCAAACGAACGCAAAAGCTATATAGCATTATCATTAATTGGAACATCATTGAGGCGCGCAATGTACCGCCCATTGGGCTTAGCGCGCGGCCAAACACTTAAACAAATGCATTAAATGCCAGACAATTATTTGCCAGTGGCAGAGACAGAGACAGACCTCAACACAAACACACACACACACACACACACACACCACACGCACACACAATTCGCATGTTCAATTCTTATTGGTGTGCATATATGTATGTACGAGTATATGATCGTCCAACTCTGACATTTCACTTCGACTAATCTCCAGCCTGAGGTCAATTTCAATTTCAGTTAAGGCCTCCAAATTACACATGTACTATGTATACGTATTACCTGACAGTCCAAATAATTGACCAAATGTCTTGCGGCAAAAATTCCTTCTTCTTTTTTTTTATTTGTGAGAATTTAAAATAAAGACGATATTATCTGCGCTTGGCTGTTGTCTGGACAAATATTTAAACAGCAGTGCGCTCAATTGTTGTACAATAAGCACTTGGCGCAATAGTTGTTGCTGCATAAAGTTCAGGGTCAGCATGGGTTAACAGCAGCAGCAACAACAACAACAACACCTGCACTTTTTTTGATGCACCCGCATAGAGCAGGCAAATTGTTGGTCGCAATTAATGGAGTAGAGAGAATGCGATCTGGCAATTAATCACCAATAATATTGACAGCTGATTGAACCTATACTTAAAAATGGAGCTTTACGTAAACAGAATTGTCTTTTAACACCAACTATATGGATATAATAAAATAATGCTTTATAAATCGAATTATTATACTTTATTTAGAATTGCTAGATTATTGTCAAAATCTTTATACAGATTTTTGTAATTTTTTAATATAATCATATATTTAATTTATTACAAAATTAATACTAAATTATTATTATTATTAAGTAATAATGCCAATATAGGTTTTTCAAATCCTTTATCATTATTCCTATTTCTTTTTATCTCCCCCTTTTCTAGAAAAAAAAAGCCCATAATGCTCTATTTTGCCCGATTTAAGCATTCGCGGAAGACTTTAGTGATGCAAGTTGCATCCGATGTGTCGATTTTTCCTATCTAAATCAATTATTATCGATATTTGATGTGGTACCAACACGCTGGTCTCAACTCGCATCACTACCATAACAACAATAAGTCTTGCTCCCACAATGAGCAAATTTCATTTTCTGCAACTTAATGACGATTGTTTACACGCCGTATGTAAATACTTGAGTTTGGACGATCGCTTCAACGTTTCACAAGTTTGTACGCGACTGCGTCAATTGGTTCACGAACGCCCTACACCCAGTCAAAAAATTGAATTTGACTTCGAAGACAATCCTCCAAAGAGACAACTTCTTTTGGAAAGCAGAACTATAATAGAACTGCACGTTAAAGGTAGCCATGGGAAGGAAGACTGCGAAATGCTCTCCAGGAGCATACAACGGATGATAAAACTTGAACGGTTGATAATAAAACTAATTTCTGCTCTACACGATTGTTGCTTTTGTAAACAATCTCTTTTCAAAGCCAGTAGTCAATTGCCGATCTTGAGAATCCTTGAGCTAAGTATGGAACTAATACATCGAATTTTTATTTATATATTTTTTTAAAATTTATTCTCTGGCTTTTTAGCTTCAGGCGCTGCTTGTCTAGAAGCATTGCGCTCCTTCAGGCATCTTGAAGAGCTCACGCTGCATATAAACAATATAAATGCTGGCCATTTGATGGAATGTTGCAAATCAAACACGAAACTCCGTGTATTAAAATTGTGTGGCTCGGGCGCCGAAGGTAGTCTGGAAGGCATTGCTGCGCTCTGCAACAACGTCGAAGAACTGGAAATACTTCTCGAAAGCAATAGGGATTATTCCCCGTTTGCTAAGCTGCTGAACTTGAAAAGACTGACTATTTATTGCGCTCAAAGCGACCTGGCTAGAAGATTTTTGAACGGTTTTAGTACTGAAAAATTAGAAGAAATTGAGTTGTTTAGAAAGATATATGGAATAACTGACCTTAAGTTAAGTAAGAAAATTGTTAGTATGAAGGCTTTAAAATATTTAGATGGTTATTTCAATGATACCAAATGTTTAGAGCTGTTGACGCAGTTACACGATTTAGAAGAACTTTTTATTGACGTGTGGTACGATGGGGGTTTCTCTTCATCAATATTGAAAATAGTACAGGTTTGCCGAAAACTTCAAATTCTGCACGTAGGGGGTGAATCATTTAAAGGAAACGAATTCGTATTTAAAGTATTGGAAGTATTAAAGAAAGTTAGAGATCCCACGACACAAAAGCCACTGCTGTTGGAACTGGAACATTGTACGGCGCTTACGGCGACAGAAGTAAGTGGGAACATTTTATTATTTGTATTATTGGTTTATCTAAGTTTCATTTGTCCATCTATATTACAGATGCAAAAAATTGACCACGCATATTTGGACCTTTACATCATAAATTACGAAGATTATAGTGACACTGATGTATTAATGATAGTGTGAAGACTTAAACCTGATTCCTATGAATATATTACACATAATTAACAATCACAAGTGGCCTACAGTCGATTAAAGTTGTGATATTCATGTGTATATTCTACATTTTACTCGAGATGGTTTTCTATTTAAAATAGGGCTTCTCTTAAAATTTACAAGGAAACACATATCCCAGTATTATATTTTAAAAGAAGCATCGCCCATACTGTGTCCGCTTTTAAAGCATTCATGGATAGAACACAATATAAAAAGATTTCCAATTTTAGTTGCTAATGCATATATTTACGATTTGCAATGTAAACATACTTTCAAAAGTGAAGGGAGCGGGATTGATGGGAACAGCTGTTTGCTATCGATTAGCAGTTTTTGATCGTAAAATCTGGCAACGCCAATACTAATGCAACAGCTGAAGAACGAATTAAAAACTTTACAATCCGAACAAATAGGCCCTTAAAACTACATATATTGAATTGGGAAATTGAAATATGGAAATTCCGGATACTTACTACAGTAAAGACGAATATGTAGAAACGGTAGGTGAATTCGTAGTCCGCAGTTGTACATCTATTTTGTTGATGACCTCATCGGACTTTTTTTTTTGCAGGCCTCTGGAAATAAGGTGAGCCGCCACACAGTTCTTTGTGGTTCGCAGAATATTGTCCTGAATGGCAAGGTCATTGTGCAGAGCGGCGCCATCATACGCGGGGACTTGGCGAACGTTCGCACCGGTCGGTATTGTGTGATCAGCAAGAACTCTGTAATACGTCCACCATATAAGCAGTTTAGCAAAGGAATCGCCTTCTTTCCCATGCACATTGGTGATCATGTGTATATTGGGGAGGGGGCGGTTGTGTCTGCCGCAGTGATTGGATCGTTTGTGTACATTGGAAAAAACGCCATAATTGTAAGCACCACATTTCGTTGTTATATTTCTTGTAATTTGTATTTTTGCCCTTAGGGTCGTCGCTGCACGCTGAAGGACTGCTGTGTAATCGAAGACGGTGCTGTGTTGCCGCCAGAGACCACAGTGTCCAGCTATATGCGCTACACAGCCAAGGGCACCATTGAAGGCGGTCAGGGCAATCCATGCTTTGTGCCCGCTGCAATGCAAGACGAAATGGTGAACTATACAAAGTCCTTTTATGAGCATTTTATACGCACGCCTGCGCCGGCCAGCTGAGATTGATATAGGAAGTAAAATATATAGAATTCATTAACTTCTAAGGCTCTAGAGAGCTTTAATTCGACTTTGTCTAATACTTTTCCATGCACTAATATTTAAAAAAAACATTCTTTAGGAGAAACGAGTATGCATAATAAACTTATCTAATATTTATTTACATACACATCCAATCAGTCGATCAACCCTGTCTCACAATCATAGGCCTCATGTCCAATCTCAAATATGGGATAACTCATGCCAGTGCGGCGCGCAATAACCGCCGCTGTTTCCTCCGAGTTATTTAATGTTTGCGCCTGAATATTGCGATTCAACAGCAGTACCGTAGCCGTATTGCGACAATTTGAAACAGTGGCTGTGATGTGCAGTGGTGTTTGTTGACCGTCCGATTCCGCATTAACATCGGCGCCGAACTGCAGCAATAATTGCGCGCAATCAGAATTATTCCACTTACAGGCCGAGTGCAATGGCGTCCAGCCGAGTTCAGTGCGGGCATTGGGATTGGCGTGATGTTGCAACAGCACTTTGGCAATGTCTACAAAATTGTTATAGCAGGCGCGATGCAGTGGCGTGTAGCCGTCGTTGTCGCGCGCATTTACCGTATCCGCATCCAGTTTTAATATCTCACGCACCTCGCTCATGCGGTTCTCATTGACGGCCCACAGAATCATTCGCTCAATGCTGGCTGCAAACAAAAACAAATCAATTTATTGTCATTTAAAAGTATGCAACTTTCCACCTTGCGGGTTCTTATCCTCTTCTATCAGTTCGTCGGCATCGTCATCCCATCCACTCACAAACATGCCACGCGGCACTTTGGCGTACCGCAGCTTTTCCACTTGAGATTTCTCCTCATCCGAATCGTAATCGCCCATTATTTAGAAACGTTGAAATAACTTCAGTAATGCCGGCGAAGCTAGCAGCAGTTTTAACATATGTATGTGTGAACATTCATAATCGATAGGTCGTTCGTTATCCAACACTAAACAAATAATGCGAGTATTCGATAGCTACCTGGATATTAATCGCTTGCATTGTTTGCACGCTTTAGTTTACGTTTTAGAAATCACACACAAGCATGGCCAATCCCCAAGACGAGCTGTGCCCGCCACCCAGCGCCGAGGATGATGAGTTGACACTGCCCCGTGCCAGCATGAATAAAATAATTAAAGAGCTCGTGCCAACAGTGCGTGTGGCCAACGAAAGTCGCGAGCTTATCCTGAACTGCTGCACAGAATTCATACACCTGATCAGCTCCGAGGCCAATGATGTTTGTAACCAGCGTAACAAGAAGACCATTAATGCAGAGCACGTACTGGAAGCATTAGAACGCCTAGGATTTCGCGACTACAAACAGGAGGCAGAAACTGTCCTGCATGATTGCAAAGAGGTGGCGGCAAAACGGCGTCGTCAGAGCACACGTCTGGAAAATCTTGGAATACCCGAGGAGGAGTTGCTACGACAACAGCAAGAACTGTTTGACAAGGCGCGTGAGGAACAGGCACGCGATGAGCAACAGCAATGGATGAGCATGCAGGCGACAGCGGTGCAACAGAGCACCGCGATAATGCAAAGACAACATACCGCAGACGGTAATGGAGGAGGAGGTGGCATCGGTATTCCCGGCGTTGGCAAGCCCAGTGAGGATGATGATGACGACGACGAAGACGATTACTAATAGAATAATATTAGAAACTAACTTTAATTGCTACTGGACTAAAATCCAAGCAAATATAAACTATGTACATACATATATACCAGCTAGAATTGGAATTTGTCAAGTATATAAAAATAAGAATCGGCCATAAATGAATTGGTCTGTGTGCCCGATAAATAAATATTTTATTGGACACACCAACCCAATTGCTTTATTTCTTCATGTACATATGTATTAAGCAGTAATTTATTTTGTCAAACAGTTAGTACTAAACTATTGCTATAAGTTAGGTTCAACTTATTTTAGTATTGTTTTTTAATTGCTGCTCTAGAGGTGATCACAGTTCTGATTTATTTATACATATTCATATTGTTCTGTTAAAAGGCAGGTTCGACCCGGAAGCTGTGCCGCATGATTGCAAATATGTGGCGGGAAATCGCGGTCGTCAGAGCATAAGCCTGGGAATATCCGAGGACGAGTTGTTTGGACAACAGCAGGAACTCTTTGACAAGGCACGCGATGAGAAAACATAAATGGAGGAGCATGCAGGCGACGGCGGGTCAACGGAGCCCCGCGATAATGCAAGGACAATATGCCTCCGACCGTACTGGAGGAGGAGGTGGCATCGGAATTCCCGGCGTTTGTAATCCCAGTGAGGATGACGACGATGATTACTAATAGAATAAAATAAACAAAATAAGACGGCAAAGCATAGAATCGGCCATAAATGAATTGGTCAATGTGCCCTATAAATAAATACATATTTTATTGGACTCACCAACCCAATTGTTTTAGTTGTTCATTTATTTAGCAATATTTTATTTTGTCAACAATCTGGTGGTGTTTTAAAAATTACTGACCAATTAAGTCGGCCCTAAAATGCTATACTAAACTATTGCTATAGATTCAACTTATTTTGGCGGGAAAACGGGGTCGTCAGAGCACAGGCCTGGAAAATCTGGGAATATCCGAGGAGGAGTTTTTGGGACAACAGCAGGAAAGGGGCGCGAGGACCAGGCACGCGATGGGGAACATAAATGGAGGAGCATGCAGGCGACGGCGGGACAACAGAGCCCCGTGATAATGCAAAGACAATATGCCGCCGACCGTACTGGAGGAGGAAGTGGCATCGGAATTCCCGGCGTTGGTAATCCCAGTGAGGATGATGATGACGACGATGATTACTAATAGAATAAAATATACAAAATAAGACGGCAAAGCATAGAATCGGCCATAAATGAATTGGTCAATGTGCCCTATAAATAAATACATATTTTATTGGACTCACCAACCCAATTGTTTTAGTTGTTCATTTATTTAGCAATATTTTATTTTGTCAACAATCTGGTGGTGTTTTAAAAATTACTGACCAATTAAGTCGGCCCTAAAATGCTATACTAAACTATTGCTATAGATTCAACTTATTTTGGCGGGAAAACGGGGTCGTCAGAGCACAGGCCTGGAAAATCTGGGAATATCCGAGGAGGACTTGCTGCGACAACCGCAGAAACTCTTTGAAAGGGGCCGAGAGGACCAGGCACGTGATGGGGAACATAAATGGAGGAGCATGCAGGCGACGGCGGGACAACAGAGCCCCGCGATAATGCAAAGACAATATGCCGCCGACCGTACTGGAGGAGGAAGTGGCATCGGAATTCCCGGCGTTGGTAATCCCAGTGAGGATGATGATGACGACGATGATTACTAATAGAATAAAATATACAAAATAAGACGGCAAAGAATAGAATCGGCCATAAATGAATTGGTCAATGTGCCCTATAAATAAATACATATTTTATTGGACCCACCAACCCAATTGTTTTAGTTGTTCATTTATTTAGCAATATTTTATTTTGTCAACAATCTGGTGGTGTTTTAAAAATTACCGACTAATTAGGTCGGCCCTAAAATGCTATACTAAACTATTGCTATAGATTCAACTTATTTTGGCGGGAAAACGGGGTCGTCAGAGCACAAGCCTGGAAAATCTGGGAATATCCGAGGAGGAGTTGCTGCGACAACAGCAGGAACTCTTTGACAAGGCGTGCAAGGAACAGGCTCGCGATGAGCAACAGCATTGGAGGAGCATGCAGGCGACGGCGGGACAACGGAGCCCCGCGATAATGCAAAGACAATATGCCGCCGACCGTACTAGAGGAGGAGGTGGCATCGGAATTCCCGGCGTTGGTAATCCCAGTGAGGATGATGATGACGACAATGATTAGATAGAATATAATAAAATAAACAAAATAAGACGGCAAAGAATAGAATCGGCCATAAATGAATTGGTCAATGTGCCGGATAAATAAATACATATTTTATTGGACCCACCAACCCAATTGTTTTAGTTGTTCATTTCTTTAGCAATATTTTATTTTGTCAACAATCTGGTTTTGTTTTAAAAATTGCCGACTAATTAAGTCGGCCCTAAAATGCTATACTAAACTATTGCTGTAGATTCAACTTATTTTGGCCGGGAAAAAGGGGTCGTCAGAGCACAAGCCTGGAAAATCTGGGAATATCCGAGGAGGAGTTGTTGGGACAACAGCAGGAAAGGGGCGCGAGGACCAGGCACGCGATGGGGAACATAAATGGAGGAGCATGCAGGCGACGGCGGGACAACAGAGCCCCGTGATAATGCAAAGACAATATGTCGCCGACCGTACTGGAGGAGGAGGTGGCATCGGAATTCCCGGCGTTGGCAAGTAAGGAAGATTATGGCGACGACGACGACGGCGACGATTACTAATAGAATATATAACAAATATAAACTACATATGTATGTATGTACGTACATATGTATATACTAGGCAGAAAATAGAATCGGCCATAAATTAATTGGTCAATGTGTGTAAATAAATATGTTACCCAATTGTTTTATTTCTTCATGTATTTAGCCATTTTTTATTTTGTCAAACAGTTGGTTTCTTTATAAATATCACAAACCCACTAGGTCGGCTCTTAATTGCTATACAAAACTATTGCCTTAAGTTCAGTTCAACTTATTTTAGCATTGTTTTTTAATTGCTGCTCTAGGGGCGCTTCTAAACTTTTTAGTTGTTCTGACAAAAGGCGCGACATCGGTTCAGTTGCATTATGAGTGCCCGGCACATATTTATTGGCCAATATTTCGCTGTGCGTTTTCCAAAATTGGGCCGATATCAAATCCTCGTGCAGTGGCACAATCGCCTGTCGGCACTTCTCGTCGGGCAGCTCTCCGGTCACAACTCGTTTGCGTAATAAAATGGTTCCCTTGCGATACATTGCAGGCATGTTGTTGTAATTAATGCCGAACTCTTGGAAGAGCAGCTCGTTCTTATCCGCCGAAAATGTGCCACGCAAGCGTTCCTCCGCCTGCTGATTGCTCAGACCCGTTTGCAGTACCAGTTTCCAAAACGCCGTATTGTATAAATTATTCACATGCACATCAGCCTGACGCCAGCTCAGATAGTCGCGAAGATTCTCATCGGAGGGATAGAGTACGACACGTCCATCGAAACAGGGTGCATAGGCCATGGGTTGGGACATCCAGTGCGGCCAGCGCAGTACATAGGACGAGGAGAACAAGCTGGTCACATAGGTCAGTAGTTTGGCCGAACGACGTTTGAATGCCGTCGTCTCTTTGCGAAACACAAAGGAGTACTCGTCACTCTGCCCATAGGCCAGCACAATGTCTCGGAACTCCTGCATTACCGTAACGGCAGCGGCATTCATTACGTTTAGCGCTAAAAAAATAAAACAATTAGAATAAAATGAAGACTGGGAGACGCTACTGCTTACCATTCTCATCATTGGGTTTCTCAAAGTCGTGCACTTTGGAGAATTTGTGAAACTTTTTACCATCGATTCGTATGACAATCCAAACATTGGGCAATATACTGTCATCCTGTTCGTAGGACTTTACATATTCGTAGCGGCTGCAGGCCATACTGCGTCTAGAAAGGATTGCGGTCGCTGAAGCAGTTGTTCGGCTTTGCAGCAATGTGTAGATAGCACGAAAATACATTCAAGCCAGTTGAGAGCGTGTTATTGTGGAAGACCGCATGTAACCGGAAAAATACTAGATTTGTACATATGCATGTAAAAATGCATTAAAATCGATCGATTTATTAAGATATGGACAGTGAATAATGGATTTATTTTTAAATGGTTTCACGTTCTTAGCAACCATTAAAATCAACAGCGTTTCATGGTTTCATTTTATTTTTTGAAATACTAGTGCTCTTGCCTCTGGGCACACTAATTGCAAGCAGCTGTTCCATTATAAGTGTTTAAAAAGCCCGGTTCACTATTTTATTTACATTCAATCGAACACATATGTACGTTTGTTTGTTTCATGACATTTTATCGATTGGAAGTGAAGTTATTGCGTTTTAAGTGTCAGTACGTTTGTGTTATCGGCGCGAAAATGAACTTCCAACAAAGAGCCGAAAATTGGTAAAACTTTTACCGAAACGTTTCAATTGATGAAACAAGTTTATGGCGATAATTGTCCATCCCGTAGCAGAGTACACGAGTGGTTTCAACGTATTCAAATTGGTCGTGAGGACATAAATGACGATATGCCGCCGACCGTACTGGAGGAGGAAGTGGCATCGGAATCCCCGGCGTTGGTAATCCCAGTAAGGATTGATGATGACGACGACGATTACTAATAGAATAAAATATACAAAATAAGACGGCAAAGAATAGAATAGGCGAAGGCGGGACAACAGAGCGTTTCATGGTTTCATTTTATTTTTTGAAATACTAGTGCGCTTGCCTCTGGGCACACTAATTGCAAGCAGCTGTTCCATTATAAGTGCTGTAAAAGCCCGGTACACTTTTTTATTTACATTCAATCGAACACATACGTTTGTTAAAATGAGTGTAAATTACGAACAAAATCAAGGCGAAATTGATTTCATAACTGAGCACCAAGCGGTCGTACTGTCAGAGGATGAAGAGGGCGATCCTGTAGTAGCCACAGACAGTCGCAAATCGTCGGAAGTCAACAATTTCTCGGACGCCATTGACACTGAGGATGCCGAAGCAGACTCTATAGGTGCTGCCAATACTTATGTCGTGGCCAACCATTACAATGAGCTGAAGGAGGCCGGGCGCAAGGAGCGTCACAAGTCGAAAATTTTCTACATGCGCAACTTTAACAACTGGATCAAAAGTCAGTTAATTAACGAGTATATGTCGCTAATAAAGCATCAGAAGCGTCTGGGTGAGTCACTGCGTGTCCTGGACATGTGTTGCGGCAAAGGTGGGGATTTGCTCAAATGGGAGAAGGCGGCCATAACGCATCTAATTTGCACCGACATTGCCGAGGTATCTGTGGATCAGTGCCAGCGTCGCTATCAGGACATTTTGATGCGCGCCGAGAAATCGAAATTCGGGCATAAATTCACCGCCGAATTCTTTGCGTGCGATTCAACGCTAGTGCGTTTGCGGGAACGCTACATGGACGCGTCGCTGCAACTGAATTTAGTCTCGTGCCAGTTTGCCTTTCACTATTGTTTTGAGTCTCAGGCTCAGGCCGAATGCATGGTGCGCAATGCTGCCGAGTGCCTGCAGCCTGGTGGCTTTTTCATAGCCACCATACCGGATGCCTACGAGATAGTGCGGCGTCTGCGTGCCGCTGGTCCGGATGCACGAAAATTTGGCAATGACATGTACAGCATTGAATTCGAGGAGGAGATAAATAATTTGCCGCTCTTCGGTGCCAAATATCAGTTTCGTTTAGAGGGCGTTGTTGATTGTCCCGAATTCCTGGTGCACTTTCCTACGCTGGTAAAGCTGTGCCGCAAATACGGCTTGCAGCTGGTGAGGCGCACAACCTTTGCCGACTACTATGCGGAAACATTGGCCCAGGGCCGTCAGCTGCTGCAGCGCATGTCCGGTCTAGAAACGGTGCACGTGCAGCGATGTGGCGACGATCAGCAATATGAGCATGTGCGCAAAGCCTTTGGCACGCATCGCAGTCGTCCGCTGGGCACACTCTCAAAGGACGAGTGGGAAGCAACAAGTGAGTAGAATATGCTAATGTATCTTAAAGTTAGACTTCACTTCCCGTTTATTTTTTTTTAGCTCTCTATTTAGTTTGTGCCTTCAAGAAATGCAAAAACAGTTGGGACACCAATGGTAAGCCAGTGTTTCAATTCGATGACTGAAAAATCTTAGTTAAATATGTTTTTTTATATAAATATGCATCAAACAAAAGCATGATCAGAAATAAATGTAAGCCGAAAGTGAAAGATCATGGTATAACATGTATTTTGTATCTTGTTATGAATCCGAAAAGAACAAAGTAAAATAAAAATAAGACAATATTTAATTTGAAGAACATATACTTACAATTTCCTTATGAAAACGTTTCTTATAATAAACCAATTCAAAAAAAAAAACAAAAAAAAAAATGAGTAAATAAATTTGTTATTTTCTCATTGATAAAGCTTTTCATCGATACTGAATTATATATTCGTTATCTATTTCAAAACTAAAATAACGAAGTAAGTCAAAAGCTTACGATAGAAAAGCAAAAGCATTTGCATACATACAATATTTAAAACGTTTATTTAGAAAGAAAATGTTAATAATAAACTGTCACGATTGCGACTTTTTAAGAGAATTGTATTTAAAACGGTTATAAAGGGCTTAACAATTTTTTATTTTAATTCGAGCTTGAAATGCTTGGCATGTCTAAGGCATCCGATTGTTTAAAAGGCCTTCAATTTAAAGAATAAATGAAGTATATAAAAAATTTAAATAAATGAAGCGATAATTCGGAAACTCTGTAAACCTCAGAAATATGTAAATATAGCTTCGTTATAAGCTTCGAAAAATGAAGCTTACGAATTTCTTTCATTAACTTTAGAAATTAAATAATTCAAACCACAAACAAAAGTTAGAATAATAATGTTTTGGTGGGCTGAAGACTTATTGTCTGACATATCGACGTTATGCCGTATTACCATCTTTTTGATCAAGTATATATAGTAAAGTACTTTTTACGCCGAGGTTTTCAAAAGACCGCCCAACCCTCTGTAGCTTTTCAGGCGATAAATTGTGCTCTCGGGTAGCTTTGATAAGGGAGCTTTCACCCAATTTCGTGATGATTGAGTTTCGAAACTGGAAATGTTGGCGACGAGGAAGAGTTGTCGGAAAAGCTTATTGGAAGCAACTTTTTGTTGTTGTTGTTCGTTTTTCGTTTTACTTTTCTGAAGCCAAGGCGCACAGCTGTTGCTTTCACAACGCGCTTTTGAAGGACATCGGGCAAAGGTTAGTCTTGACGTTTACGTTGCCGGGTTGCCGTGCCTGGCACCCAAATGCATCAATGGCGAACATTTTTTACAACACCTTAAACAAAGGTAAACAAGAAGGAAAAATGAAACCAAAAGGGCTGCTGCGTTTATGGCCAAAGGCATAAAATCGAAATTGTATGAAAATTGTGCCCATTGATTAGGTCGATTGCTTCAACTAAACTGTATTGTGTAATCAAAAATTGAAGGCGACGCCGATGCCGATGCCGACTCCCTCAACTGTCTGACTCTCTCTTGCTGTTACTGTTGTTGCTGTTGCTGTTGCCGTTGTTGTTATTGTTTTTCATTTTATTAAACCAATTTAAGTTCTTGTCAGACAATTTCGTTCTCTAAACTTGCGACCATAAAAAAGTTGGGCGTAAAGTTTAAATTTGTTTTGCAATACCATCGGATGTAGCATTGAGCTCACATACATACAAACACTTGCACACACACACACACACACTTACATTAAGTTGGTGTATGTGTGTGTGTGTAGAAGGCTGTGCGCCTGTTTGTATGCTAGGATGTGCTTTGTTTAAAGCAGAGCGTGCGTACTATTTATAAAATAAACACCAGCGCTCTGTTTACACGCCATGTACAAGGGACGCTCCTTGCACTGGACCTAAGGAGCGTCCTTAGATCGAGAGCTTACAAAATAGATGTGTGCTTTTCCACTTTCTAATTACCCTTTAACATTTAATTGCCTGCGAAAATAAGTTACATTTCCTATGAAAGAGAGTAGAATTTTTGCTGTGGAGTGTAGAATACTAAGTAGAGAGCTTTTCGACTAGAATTGGCAATTAGTATTTGTTACTTGAACCAAAGAAACATAAATGAATACTTTAAAATCTTTATAAATATAGTTTTATAGTTTTATGTTCTTTCCCCTTTTTTCCAGTACATTTTCCGCTGAATATAAAATTAACTCATTCTTTAAATTCTTAATGAACATCAGTCGTCTAACATTTTATTATTAACAAGAGTTTTTTTTTTGGAAAAAGATAAGTACCTAGAAAAATGTAAATGAAAATTTGCTGATAATGTTTATTACTCGCACAGTCTTAAATCTAAGTATATGTACGTGTGTTATAATGAGTATGAAATGAAGAATGGATGCTGACATTCATATATACTTGTAGTATATCCATTTGTCTATCCGTTCTTTCATCTATTCGTATGTCCCTCCGTTTGAGTATTGTAAAAATATATATAGTTTATCATTATATTCTAAAGTTTCATCAAAATCAATGCATTAAATCATATACTATAAATTAGAAATGCCACAGAAATGTATAAAAAACTATTCAAGCACCTCACTGGCACTAATTTAACGCCTCACGGCTGTACTTATACAAGTATGTACATGCTAAGGTGTATTATAAAATTTAATTAAATTAAATTGTATGTACTTTGTTTTATATTCCAACAACCATTTGGTTTTACTTCTTTTTTAAGAGCTAATGAAGAGGCACCTTTTTATTTGTCTTCGGTCTAAATTGAAACTTTTGTAAATGTAATACATATATCAAAAATAAATATTATTATTAGAGCAGCTTTTAGAGCAAGCTATAGCTACTAAGGCCTTAAGCTTATCAAAAATAAATGGAAAATACAAATTATACGCAAACAACTTGTATTGGCAAATAAATAACATACACGAATAGTTGAAATATGGTATAAATAAATGGAATTGTCTTTGCCTTCCTTGTATTCCATTTTCCTCTTGAAGTTAATTGTTTTGACTGTTTCTTTATCTCAATCCTTCCTTGCATACAAACATATCGATTCGACTTTTTCATTATTGATTGATAAAATCAAGAATATAGTTCGCACTCAATTAGTCCAGCAGTTTAGCCTTTGGTTACAGGATAAAGAAAAGTATAACATTTTGTAGGCACCAAATACAGCTTAGCAATATTATATTATATGTTTAAACAGAAGTACACATATTTCTTTTCGAGCCTGTTAATAATTTCAACTCTAAGCATAGCTCATAAGTGTAACAAAATATTTAAAAAAAAAACTGTTTTTTTTTTTTAATTTCTTTCCGATTTTTAAGATAACTGTTTAGAGATTAGTGCAGTTCTTCAAATAGAAAGTAGATGAATTAGGTATAACTATTTAAAGTTTGGATCGCTAGCCAAGTTTTTACTGTAGCGTGTGGCTTAGAGCGGGGCAGAGAGAGAAGGAGAGAGCGAAAGAGAGCGGCTGCGGCATCAACGCCTCGCTGGGCTCGCTGTGCACTGATTGGCCCTAATGAATCTTTTTGTTACCTCACGTGGCCGCCTGCGCATTGTGCGGACTATGTAAATTAGTTCGCATTTAAAGGCTGCAACGGCACAATGGCAAACTGCTGAGTTATGTGCATACGTGACTGAATCGAGCAGCCAACGGGAAGGGCAGAGCAGGGCAGGGCCAGGCAGGACTGAGACGAGCTGAGCTGAGCCGAGCCGAGCGTCAAGCGTCGAGCAACGACTGAGTCAGTCAGTGTGTCAGACAGTCTGTCAGGCAGTCTGTCCGACCAGGTGGTTAGGAAATGAGTGGCCTTACATTACGTATACGCAGTGTGTACAAACAAAATGCCGCAATGTTTATTCTGTAAAGATCTGAGCGCTCCGGCGCAGCATGCAGCGAGCAGCAAGCACACATAAAATGCATAGAGCTAATGGCATGTATGTGTATATACATACATATGTATATATGTGTGTGTTTGTGTTTGTGTGTGTGTGTGTGGCTTGTGTTTATTCAACCGCACAGTACAATGTGAAAAAAAACGCATGGCACGCATACGGAGCTGCTACGCTGACGTATTCCTTTGTTATGTCTTTCGTTATGCTAAACTTTTTACAAGCAATTTTGCCACAGGGGTTGGAACAATTTACGTATGTATGTATGTATTTATGTATTTATGTTTGTTTGTATGTACTATACGAGTATGTGTACGAGTATGCACCAAGGACTACAATATGGCAGGGCATAATAATGAAAGCTAAGCGCCGTCTCAGCAACTAAGACACTTGGACTAAAGCGTGGATTAACTTAACAAAGGTAGCAAAGGAAATATAAATAAAGTCCCCAGCATGGGTTCATTTAATACAACAACGTGTAGTCTGAGCTACAGTGAAGAGCATTATATTATCATATTCTGATGGATGAAATCATCAATTTAATCCCATTCTGACGGCCAAGCAATGGAAACACAAACTTAACTGAACTTTCTCTTCTGGCTAGGAAAAGAAATTTGATTTCAAGGCACACTGCAATGAATAAATCCGCTGGAACAGAACTTAATGCATTTCAATTTGTATTTATTTAACTTTAGGAAAGACTTATGATAACATTTCATTTACCAGACAGCAATATGAAAAAAGCACAATTAATACAAATGCAAAAACATGTTGAGTAAAATTTATGCGATAATTATTATGCTGGTTTTCCCAAATGAAGACGATTAACTGGAATTTGAATCTTTCAGAAAAAGTCTGTGTGTTTTTTGCTTAGATAATATTTTGAAATTATGATAAATTTGTCTTTACAGAACAGCCAATCAGTTCGCAAGCTTCATTCAAATGCTTAAAACACTAAAGCAAGAAAAGAAAAGACCACAATGCTTCAGTTTATAGTTGAAGGGAAAGGTAAGCGAACAGGTGCTGCTAGCTACAGGATTATTAAAAATGAAGGCCGTTTATTGACAATGGAAAGCACAATTATTTGTCTTTATTTAATGCTGAAAATCTAAGCTATAAAGTCATACCAAGTTCACTATTAAGAATGATACATTTTATATATTTTATCATTTATTTTATTCAATTTATCTTTCATTATTGGTTATATCGCATATGGAGGGAGTGGAGAGAGTTTGTTTGGGTGCGGGGTATTTTATTGTCGGGCTTACTCTACTGTAGCATTTTAGCTTGTTTCACTGAGGACGAATTGCTTTTGAATTGTAAATCAAATGGTTTAAAGGTAACTCTTCAGTATATACAAAAACTCTATTAATTATATTATTGGCACAGAAAAGCCAATTGCATTTGGAATGGTCCCAAATTATTTTT